GCTTTTGTGGATTTTTGCTGCTGTTTAGGTTTTTCCATTCCATTTCTAAGCACAGCTGGGGAAAAGTGGAGATGGGTAGAGGTACTTGGTTTTATTAAACTCTGAATTTGAGAAACCTGTTTTCTGATGTTGAATTGAAGCAGTATTTAAGAAAAAAAAATGGTGAAAATCACTGCTATTGAACAGTACTGATCTACCCCAAAGAAACCTGTTATGCTCATTTTTCTATTAACAGATCCACACAACAGCAATTAATTCTTGACTTCATCAGTGATGTGTCTTTGATACATTGCCAAATGGCTTGTATTGCGCAGCACACTGAGGGTGGACAAAACCAATTTTGCCCTTGCCCATCAATTGACATCACTCATTTGTCCCTATAGTCTGTGGTTTAAGGTCCATTTAGTTTTCACAGGAAAATTAAGTACGATGATCATAATTTCTCTCTTCAGCTATGTAGTCCATTTCATATTCAAGCTCTAGAAATAAATGTGTTACAAAGGTGTGTTGGCTCAAAGGATATGACATTTAATTTGCAAGTATGTAATGTTTTTCATAATCATAAAAAGTGTGAGTAATAATTGTGGCAGAATTAAGAGGCTGAGATTTTTGTCTGCTAGTGTTTCCTTTTAAGTAATTGTGATGGCATTATTTTGTAGTGTGTGTTTTTAGGAGTGAAGGAAGTTGAATTTTTGTGACTGTGCCTTCATTTCTAATCTCTTTGTGAATGAAAAGCTATATACAGGCACAAATCCAGCAGCTTAATTCTCCATCTGATTAGAGCAATGTTACCAACCTGATAGGTTGAAAACAGCCAAGATCCATGCAGTAGCTTAGCCTCCTGGGAGGCAGAGTAATAACAATCAAATGAAGACATATTAAAATGTAATATTACTTCCTCTCCATGGGGACTGTATAAGAACCATAGCCAGGAACTGTTCTTGTCAGCTGACTCTGTTTCGCTCACTGGTTCCCTGCCTCTGCATTTATGACTAATGCAATTTGTACAATAAACACTTGTGAAGTTTTAAAAGCAAATAAATGTAAAACATCATACATTGATTTACATGAGTTCCCAGGTTTTTTTTGTTTGATTTGTTTTTTTGTTGTGTTTTTGGGTGGGTTTTTTTTCAATAATTTTTGTATTTTGAAGAAGGGAAGGCAGAGCTGGAATGAAATTCTTTGGTCTGAATGATTTCATTTCCTCTTGTGTAAAGGAGAGGATATGTTAAGGCAGTGTTTTACAAAACTGAAAATGTATACTAGTTTCTCCAAAGTAAGTAGGTATCAGCAGACACTTAACCATAATTTCATAATAGGTCATTTTTTTCTGAAAGTTGAAAACCTGAATTTATGTTCCTTATAAAATGGCAGCTGCTGTTGTATTCAAGGAATGCAGACACACAGTGTCTGTGTAAATGGAGTTCCAACGTAATTTTTAACTGACTACTGTAAACATTGCTTATAAATCATTATGATCTTGTCAGAAAGTCTTAGAATTAGTAGAGATTTTAGGGCAATTATATGTGTGTTTGTTTGTAAGTATGGCTAAACTGTTGACTGAATAATTTAGTGCACTTTTGACTGTAATGACTAGTTTTGCAAATGACACCAGTGGAACAGGACAGTTCTCAGAAAATCAGAGGTGTACCTATCCATCAAAAGGTTTAAAAATATTTTACTACCCGTTTAGCAACATTGTACTTACTTTTAGTTTCCTATGTGTTGCTGTATTAATAAGAAGTGAAGTGTGGGATCCGGAGAATATTTAATACTCATGAGAAACTTCATATTAATCATTAATTACACTTATTAATGTTAATATTTAAGTAGTCTTCTTAGCACAGGGTCATGTGTAGTAGAACATGTGTGTAAAATATATCCATATTTAGATCAAAATATAAAAAAACCTCTGAATCTGTTATTTTTTTATATATATGTAAATAAAAATAAACTGGATGGAAGGTTTAAAATTTCAGAGAGTGGCATTTCCATTTTAGACACAAGAAACTTGTGTTATGATTCTGTGTTTATACCCAAAACTATCATGGAGACTTTTTTGGGGGGCAAATATTTCAGCGTAAACAGAGCTCCAGGTAACAGGGTCACTTTCCTGAAGTACTGTGAGTGCAGTGGAGGAACCTACATGATAGTGAGTATAATTTTCATTTGGAGATCAATATAGAAAGGCAGCAGCAAGTGTTTGAGGAATATTTTGTACTCACTCCCTTGTTTGTCTTGTGCACACAGAACTGTCAAGGGGCATTAGCAGTATGAAACTGTGTTTTCTCTGATGTCCCAGATTACTACTTTTTCTCTGTACAGCTTTTCAAAGCTTGAAACGATGTGTTTAAAACTACCCACTTTCTTCCTGGTACACTAGGGATATGTGAGGTTATATTCCGATAGTCTTAATGAATTTTGAAAATAATTTCCTCCAGTGGCCTTGGGTAATCGTTGGTTTAATTACAGGGAGAAGCTGAGGTGGAAACTGCTCTGTCACTGAAATGTTCCTCTTTGAAATCTCCCCAGTTCTCGGGACGGAGCAGTCTCTACTCTTGAGCTATAACGTAGGCTTTTCGAAAACCCCTTGAAGAACTGTGGAAAAAGTGAATACTTCTGCAAATTCATTCATCTGACATCAAAGCTCTGAAAGCAGTCTTTTAGCGAGCAAGCGAGGCAGATTGCGCTCGCGTAGGCATACAACCAGACTCATTGTACATCTCTGGGCCTTCCCATTTGGAGACTGTATTTGAAGTTATTTTGCATTCTTTTTGCCATCTTACGTTCTTGCTCAGTACTGAGGTCATACTGCATCCTCTGCATCTTATTAAGGTCTCCTGCTCTGTGGGTTAAATGGATAGGCCTTTAAAGAATAAAAAGGCATTGATGTTCAAAAGAAGCAGCACTCTATTCAATTAAAATCAAGTAAAAGGTGTTTAAGAAGATGTGAGCCCACATCGCCTCGATTAAAAAGCAAATGAAGAATAACAAAAAATGCAAGACAAAGTATTTATTAGTTGTACTTTCAGTTGATGCTCAGGTTTGGTATTTCTATTTACTGCTTTTTTTTCCCCTTGTCCTTGTGCTGGTACATTGGCAAATAGGTCATAAAAACCACTTTCAGCAAAGACACATTTGATTTATGTCCAGAACTGGTCCTTAGTATTGATTTTTTTTCCCTCTGGAAAAAAACAAAAGAAAACAAAACTATATGTCTCCATTATTTTCTGAGCCTGGCAATGCAGTGGCACATTTCAGATCAGCTTTTATCTTAAATTACTCATTGTGCTCTTTTATATTTTAAAAAGTCTTTTTTGCAAGTTGGGAAAAAAAAAAAAAGTAGTTGCACATATGGCTATTGTCATGTTTTTACAGGGGGAGGGAACAAGAGGAGGAACTGGGAGGGACCATGTATGAGGAGAACGGAATTTTAGGAAAAGAAAGCACGATTTGGGGAGTCTGTATGGTGGCTGTAATTCGAGTTAGTCACAAAAGAGGCAGAAGTGGAACAAAAACAAGAAGTAGATCAAAGGCTAGGAAGCAGGGTTCAGCAGTATGGGGTTTATATTTTTACGGCTAGAGAGAAGATTAGAGCAAGAAAAATACTGCCATGGGGCTAGGGAGACATTGTGAAGGAAAAAGGAACTATACATAGGCTGCATTTGAAAGAAAATCCCCAAGGAAGGCAAAAGAGAAGGAGCAAGAATTAAAAACAAAGATGGAAACAGTGTGAAGCCCTGGGTGAATTAGATCCTGAGCTGAAAGGAGAGGGGCAGAGGCAGGAAAGTGCTGCTTAAGTTGTGCACCACAGCCACAACAAGCAGCAAGCTCTGTTATATCCCATTTTCTGTTTGTTTTCTCCAGTTGGTGGCCTGATGCTGATGCATGTGCATGCACCCGCTCATAAGTGCATTTTGGGCCTTGGAAAAACAGCTCCAAGAAATGGCAGTGACGTTTTCACCCCCAGGACAACAGGGGTAGGAAAACCCCTGACATGTTTCCTAACTAGTGAAGCTGCAGTGCGTTGTTGGTGGACATGCCGGCTTTGCCACTGTAGCCAGAGCACCAGGACACATGCTGACAGCGGCCAGTGCCTGGCACCGTATGGAGTGGCTGCAATGCTCACAGCTGAGGAGCTGCAGAATGGTTTTCCAGCGGCTGTTGGAGTTTTGTCACCAACAGCTGTCTCAAGCATCAGTAGTGGCGCACCCCTAGACCGTGACTCAGTGTTTTAGATCCTCCAAGGGAGTTGTGCTTTGCACTCAAATCTTACGGCAGTGTCAGCTTGCGGTGGGGTTGCGCAGTGCCAACCAGCGCGTAGATAAGCGAGAACAATATAAACACGGGGGGAAAGCACCCGTTTCTTTGTACAAGTGAAAAGGTTTCCATGAGAATAGAGCGTATTCTCCCCACCCCTCACCACCTGCCCCCACGGAGGTTCCTCAATGCTGAGAAAAGTGAGATTGTACTTTAAAATATTAAATGGTTTTCCAATCAGTGCAGAATCTCAGCTTTCACCTGGGTCTTTTGTAAGCATTTGCTTCTTCCAGCAGGAGATTTGTAATAGAGGAAGCAGGTGTAACGTTGTGATTATAAAGATATTGTTGGGGGTAGAAAAAGGGGTGAATTTTCAGTGCTTTGCTCCTCTGAGCCTGCCAGGGCTTCCTTTTCAGCTGACTCCATCACCTTTTAGCAAGGTTCTGTGTTTTCATCCAAGTGAGTTAGTCAATTGTGCACAGAAAAAAAGGTTGCTGGGTAAATTTGAAACCTTGATAACACATTCTTACATTTGTATATGTTGTACTGCTTAGCAGTGTATTCATTCCTTTGGCTTTCAACATTTCACAGCTTTCCATAGGTCAGCCCAAGCAACAAGAACAGGTCCTGGTAGACTGAAAGATTTCTACTTTCGGAAACTCATGTTCACATCACCTTGCCTGTTGATTTCCTGATTTTTATTTATTTTTATTTTTTATTTTTCTTTTATTTTTAATCAGCAACATCAAATGGGTCTTTGGAGGGCCTGGATAACCAGGAGGGAGGGGTGTGCCAGACAAAAACCATGAAGATCCTCATGAAAGTTGGACAAGGTAAAGACCATCTGCTGTTTCATGAAGTCACTTTGATCAGTCTCAATGTCCTTTTAGTTTTCAGGCTTCTTTTAGCAGTGTGGAGCAGAGAGCCAACCGAGTCTAGTGTGGTCATTCCTCCCTTATAGTCTGAAAGCAAAACCTATTTTCTCTTCCTCAGCTACTGACAGATTTCTACAGAAGGAAGGTTAGCGTAATAAGATCTCTTCACTGGAGAGATCCCTAGAAGGAAAGGTCACCTGGGAGTAGTGTGTTTCAGTCATTTTTATTTTTTATTTTAAAAACAAAAGCCACAACTCTGCTGCTCAAAATTATTTAAAATACATGAAAGGAGGGAAGCTAATATTTCTATAGTTTGCTTGTTATGAATTCTGATTACAGAGGGGCTTTTGTTCATTGTCTCTTTTCACATATAGATAACCTATTGTGCAGGAAGAAAGAATTATTCTTGTAAGTAGAAGTTGGTTCAGTAGTCAATCAACTTCCTCAGTTAAACTGAAATGTCATCTGCAAAGCTTTTCTTGCCAATTACAGGAGTCCCTATAGTTTCTGCAGATGGCCTCACAATTTAAACCTCTGAAATAACTAATATAACAATTCTGCTTTAAAAGGAAAATTATGTTCTTATATCTCCCATGCCTTTGCATAAAGATTCTTCTGTTGAAACCATTCATGTCTCATAAGGTACCTAGAGCTGGTTTACAAGGCTTCATACCATCAGGCAACGAAGCTGCATGAATCGTCTTTCTCTCCCCCAGATCCCAACTCGGCAGGGCTGCCCCGGCACACAGATCCCACCAAGCGCCCTGAGCAGGAAGCTGGCACCAATGGGAAGAGTTCCACCACCAGCCCCTTTGTGAAGGACCACTCAGGTAGGTGTGGCAGAGCTTGCACTTGGGACATGGATCTGGTGGAGTCTTCTCTTTTGTCCTCAAACGCATTTTATTTTTTCTGTTAAAGTGCCAGAAAAACAAATGTTTTCATACTGAGATGAAGCAAAAGCCAGTTCTGAGGCTCTGGTGGATAGGGTCTGGGAGCTGCAAGTTTTGGCAACATCTGCTCTCTCCCCTCTTCCACCCTACAGGAAAAGTTAATTACATCTTGTGAGAATATCACTCATTTACAGGAAAGTTTTTGGATAGGACATTCGCTAAGCAGCTTTACGATGGTAAATGCTGCCTTACATTTAGTACTCTGGCAGATGAACGAGTCTTTCTGTCTTTCTCTTCCCGTATAATACATTATCAAGTGGTTCTCGACAGCCATTTATAAAGTTTATTTCAAGGCATCTATAATTAATGTCCTGATCTTTTAACTGACCCTATAAAGTCTGTGCATGAATGGCCAGTCTTTAACTAAATTTGAAGAATTATTTTTTTAATATATAATTATCTTAGCAAGATAAACAGATGGTTCCAAACAAATATCTTCAGGATGCATTTCAGACATCAGGTGAAGAAGAAATAACTTACTCTTAATACCCAAGGTCTCTGGAAGAAAATTCAGTAACTTGGGAATGCTACAAAGCAGAACTTGCTGACAGTTGATTCTGGGGTTCCCAAAAATGGCTGCAAGTTTTCCCCGCTAGCTCTGTCATTAAATACTGGGCTAATGAATCTGATATGATGGTCACTGGGCATGCTTCAGCCATTTCCATCAGTGGTTCCAGTAGGAAAAGTTCACAGTTGTGTGGATGTAGTATCTGCAGCATTCTTCCACCTGTGAGTGAGCACTGAGAAGGGGAAGGTGGTTCGAATTTTCAAGTGAGAAAGTGTCAAGTGAGCATTCATTTAATTTTTGTGACAAATAATATGACGGTGTAATGGCAAAAAATACTCAACAGGCTTTTCAGCACGTCAGCTTTTCCTGCCTACCAAATGTGGGGTGGTGTTTTCTTTTAAGTAAATGTAAGTTAATACAAGCAGATATGTCATAGCTGTTTTGTCTGTGTCCTGCCCTGCCTCGAGCTCCTTTTTTCATGTGCAAGCAAGAGGAGTCCATGTAAAGAGGCCCTAAGGATGGTTTAGCTTAGATCAGTATGCAAAAGGTAAAATAGCAGAAGAACAGTGTGACGCTGAACAGTACCAGTTGTCCCGAGAATTGTCAGTTCTCAGTGTTATTTTCCCCTTGCAGTCCTATCCCACCCCTCTCTGCTACCCGGGGCTGACCGGCATCTGTTAAAAGATGCAGTGTGCATCAAAGGCCGCCTTGTCAGTGCCAGTCCTCACCGCTGATGGATGATGATGTATGAAACAGGATGGTTTGGGAGCAGCACAAAAGTGAGACCAACAGACACAAAGTCTTGTTTAATATTGATTGCTGACTTCAGCTGTTTGCATTTAGCTATCTAACAGGGTAATTGGTTTGTCAAAGTTTAGCTGTCAGTTAATTCTTGCAGTCCTGCTTACTCTACACATTTTTAAGCAGCGTAAACGGGTCACAGGATGGCAATAACTTTTGTCTGTTGTATTTCCGTTCTTTCCAGGATCTAGCACAGATGGCAGTAAGGCTGGGCATTCCAGTATACTGGGTTCAGAGGTGGCCTTATTTGCAGGGATTGCATCAGGGTGCATCATTTTCATCGTCATCATCATCACTTTGGTGGTTCTTTTGTTGAAGTACCGGAGAAGACACAGGAAGCATTCCCCACAACACACGACAACTCTCTCACTTAGTACGTTAGCCACCCCAAAACGCAGTGGCAACAACAATGGTTCTGAGCCCAGTGACATTATCATTCCTCTAAGGACTGCAGACAGTGTCTTTTGCCCCCACTATGAAAAGGTCAGCGGCGACTATGGACATCCAGTGTACATAGTTCAAGAGATGCCTCCTCAGAGTCCAGCAAACATTTATTACAAGGTCTGAGAAACACACAACCAACTCTGTGGTACAGTTGAGTCATAGAGGAAACTCACTGGTCAAATGCTTTCTGTTGGGGTTTGTGATGATGCCTTGTGCGCTAGCATTGACTCAAGCACAGGGGGGAGAAGGTGACAGCTCTTTCTCTGGGAGCCAACGCGAGCTGGACAGCTTACCTAGTCTGTAGAATTCCTATCTTGGTGAATAAGTATTCACTAAAAGCTGGAAGACTTTTATGTAGAAGATGCCCATTCTGATTGCTGTACTCTTGTTACATTCATCATCCTCAAAGCCATGTGCTGCGGGCGTTCAGGCATGTACAAAAGCCAAGGGAAGATGGAGTGATCCGTGGATGTTAATAGCTCTAGGCATCCTGGGAAGGTGCTCTAGGATATATCAAGCTTGAAATGCAATCTTCTGACTTTTGTGTGTCTCTCTCAGTGCATACTGGATTTGTCACACAGACCTTAGTGTCCAAGTAAGACTTGTTAAAGTTCTCTTGCGTTTAGTCCGTCACTGTTCCATTTGTTTCTGTTATCCGGGGCTCTGCCATCCTTCACATAAGATTTCCTTTCACTCCACCTCCTGAATCACTAATGGAACATTAATGTTTGGAGATCCGCGCTCCATCCATCTGCTACAGCAGCCTCACTCGAATGGGTAATGCATTTATAGAAATTGTATTTGATAGTAAGGAGCCTTCCAGCCAAAAAGTTAGGCTGTCAACAAAGTCAAGAGCAGGACTGGGTGGTGGAGGGAAGGGCTGACTGCAGTTGCAGTTGAACTGCTGCCTCAAAAGTAGAAGCTGGGAAGAAAAAAGAAAAAAAAAATCATGTAGGTAGCACAGCACTTTGGTATGCTAAGTTTTAAGAGGCAAGTAGGAGGCACACTAACGTGCAGTGGCTTAGGGCTGCATTTGAAGGAATTCATGGTTATCAAATACCAGTGCGCAGAAAAAAAATAGTACCTTCAATACAGTAGAACAAAGGGGTATTGTTAGTAAGTGGACAAGCTTGGAGAGGACAAGGCAGTAGCAGGCCGCTGAGGATATATTAGGGCAGGGCTGTTGTGGTACTGGCAATAAAATATACAGCTTTGAAGCTGTAGTGAAAATGTAGTCTGCTTTGGATGACTTTTAAGCAGACTCAGCTGCTATACTATCACATTATACTAAACACAGGGAAAGCATCTAAGAAAATAGCAGAGAGCCAAATCTGACCAAGATGATTATAAGCCAGCGGGTCAAATGAGCTGTAATTTTATCACTGGTAAAGTTGTGGAAAAAAAACCCCAAACCCTTTCTCATCTCTAAAGTAAGGCAGAATTTCTTTCTGAGCCTTTTGACACTTTGGTTTATTGTAGTGCTGTCCCTGCACAGTGAGTATAGGTACTGTGACTGACACAGCTGTTCATTGGTGCTCTGTTGCAAAGTTAAAGCACATATGGCAAACCTCTTGCAGTCTGTAAGAATAAAATAAATTATGACACTGAGATGGAGAAGGAAGATATGTCTTATTTATAATAGGTGTATAGAACACAAGGGATATAAACTGAGAGTTTTTCTTTCATTTGTTCTTTCTTACTTTTTTGTTTTGGTTTGCTTTTTTTACTAATATATATTTTGAGATTGCACAGAATCTACACCAGAAGATGTGAAATTAATTTGCGGCAATTAAATAGTCTTAACATGTCATCATTTTTTATATATGTGTGTGTGTGTATATATATATGCACACATATATATGATTATATATATGCATTTATATGCATATATATATATATATATATTTAAAAAAAAAACAACAACCTGCTTCTGGGAAAAACATCAGCCATCCAAAAATAACAATGAGAGCATATTAAAAAAAAAAAAAATCCAAAGCATCTCATAAGAGAAAACTAGGAAATATAAGTCCCAAAATATCAGGAAGTTAATGTTACTGCATCATGTATTTCATAACAACAAGGTGTGCCGGCATTTATTTTCTGTGTTGTGTTTTCCCTTGCCTTACGGGCTGATGTGTTCTGTAGATTTCATTGAGGTTCGTAGAGGGGGGTTTCAGGTTAAAGTTTTCTCTTTAGCATGGCTATTCCCCTAAAGCTCCCACCCTGGAGAAGAAATAAAAAAGCTCTACTTTTGTATGTGCTATGCAAATAGACATTTCTAACATGGTCATGTTACTATGGTAACACTTTGCTTTCTGATTTGGAAAGAAAATGTAGCAACAGCATTTTGGGGTTCTCGGACCTCTGGTGAGCACCTGCAAGAAAAAAAAAAAAAAAATCTGTCATAAAAATGATCACTCTTTCTGTTTCCTGAACCTGAAAATGATGTTGGGATGTTGGTCCAAAAGAAAGAAACAAAACAAAAAAAATCCCAACCCATGGTTCTGTGGAAGGTTACCATGGTGACTAACTACAGTACATATGTAATTCTTTTCAACAACCCTTCCTTTCTGTGAATCCATCCATACAAGGTTCTCTTGTAAGTCATTAAGATTTTATTTTGGGGGAGGGGGAGGAAGGGAAAAGATGGGTTTACTGATACTGATTTTTTATTAAATCAAATCTATGCTTCATCAGTTGGCTACATTCTAGTTATGTACTAAACTGTGAAAAAAAAAATCAGACTAATTGCTCAAGAGCAACCTGCAACCAATTGAAAAAAAAAATGTACTGTGCGTCTGTTTTGTGTCTGGTGCAGAATTATGACAATCTACCAACTGTTCCTTTATTTGACGTTGGTCCAGCTTTGAAAAGTTACTGTAAATGCCTTGCTTGTATGATCGTCCCTAGTCACCCGACTTGGAATTTGCACCATCATGTCTAAGTGAAGATGCTGTAAATAGGTTCAGATTTACTGTATATGGATTTGGGGTGTTACAGTAGCCTTATTCACCTTTTTAAATAATAAAAAAAACCCACATGAAAACAAGACAAAAATGGCTTTTCTTAACCAGATTGTGTATATAGAGCAATGTTGGTTTTTTATAAAGTCCGAGCAAGATGTTTTGTATAAAATTTGAATTTTGCAATGTATTTAGCTACAGCTTGTTTAAAGGCAGTGTCATTCCCCTTTGCACTGTATTGAGGACAAAATTGGTATAAAAGGTTGCCAAATTGCCGCATATTTGTGCTAAAATTGTGTACCATGAATATTTATTTAATAATTTCTTTGTCCAGTTTGTAAGTAACACAGTATTATGCTTGAGTTATAAATAATTTCTTCTCTTTTTTTCATTTTTGGTTTGTTTGTTTGTTTGTTTGTTTCATTCTGTTTTAAAACTAGCCGGTCATGAGTTTGAAATCTGCTTTAGTTCCACATTACAATTAGTTCCCAGAAAATGAAAATTCTGAAAATCACATTCCACGTCTGTTTCAAACTGAATTTGTTCTTAAAAAAATAAAATATTTTTTTCCTATGGAAACCTTGCTTCTAAGTATTTTCTTCTTTTTTTTTTGTGATTTTTTTTCTTTTTTAAAAGATGAAAATAAAGCCACCAAGTCTGCCTCCCTCTGCCCTTCCCTCCATCCCTTCTTCCCTTCTCTCTCTCTCTCTTTCTCTCCCCTCCATTGTCCACCCTGATTGCTAGTGGTTTTTAAGAAAGCAAGCTGCTTATAATACACTGACTTCTGTTAACCTACTTCTTTCCCAGACTTTTTCTTACATATATTAGCAGATTAAAAAAAAAAAAAAAAGGGGGGGGGGGGGGAAGTTGACCTTAGAGGGAAAGTCATCTGTGGCACTTAGGTTCACCTCCTGACTCTGCTATAGATGTCCTTGGGAGAGTTCACTGGTCCAGAAGAAGGCATAAGTGCCCATGGTGGAGCATGTGAGCATCCTCTGAACTCTCAGTAAATCACTTGGGCCTAATCCTGCATTTATGGCTGTAAATCACTTCAAAGTTGGTAGTCTTGCATACTTGGAGGCACACACGTACTTGGCTGGATTGAGACTTCAGTCCCTGCTTCATGCTTGCACGAGGGGGATTTCACTTGCTCATCTCAGTGGGTTGTTGTGAAGGTCTCCACATCGTTAATGGCAGTGAGGTGTTCAGGTCTGGTCTATGCTTAAAGTTTAGTACAGCCATCTCTCAAGGCTGTGACTAGTTTAATTAAGGCTAAGGCTATTGTTTTTATTTTGGGCCTTGGTAAAATAGTGGAAGACGGTGGTAAGAAAAATAAGAGTGTCAAGTTTACATGGCATTTTCATTTCTGTGCCTCTTTTTTCCATCTATGATAAACATACATAACTATCATGTATACTGACACCCACACACACCTATTTTTGTCACTGTTTTAGCAATAAGGGAAAAGCATCATTGCTATAAATGGCGTCTCCCACCTCTGAGGGGTGAAAAACCGTTGCTGGTGTAACTGTATCTGTATAGTTACACTTGGGGACAAGGATGCTGGGTTAACTGGAGGGCCTTGCACACATACCTTCACAAACAACAGAACCTCCACCGAGTCTGCTAAACTCATTTTAGTAAATGATATGTGCCTTAGACACTCAGCATAAAGTCATTGACTTATAACCCATTTTTTATAACTTGCAGAGGAAAAAAAATCATAGTTGCATTTTGCACTGCTGCTGACACTGCACTATTAATTATCAAACAAGCACAAAATCAGAATTTACTGCCTTTATTATGAAACTGGTTCCCTGGCAAGAACTAGTCCAAGTCAATAGGCTCTGCTAAGTGGAAAATAAAATTATAATTCACAGTTGTTACCCATCTAGAGTGGAATAAGGATCTGTTACATAAAATAGTGCCTCACGAAGTAAGCATAACAATGTTACTGCCTAGGTTTAAAACATTATACCTCTTCCTTTAGACTTTCTCTTTAGCTTTGCTGTGATACATTGATCAAATGCTCACTCAGCAGCATGCTCATTTTAATTCTGTGGGCACTGTAAATTTTCTTTTTGCAGAAAAGCTTAAAAATTGTGTAGTGGTTAGCAACATAAAGGAAAACGAAAACTCAAGTCTTTCTAAGAGACACTCTCCATCTTTGTAGCCACAGTAGAAATTTTGGTGGGGAAAAAGCCCAGGGTTTAAAACCACCAAACATACTCATTATACAGTTGGCATGTCATTACATGAAGCATCAGATCAGAAATCAACTAATACTTGTTTTGGAAAAAGATGAGTGTTGGAGGATATACCACAGTGTATTCATGATTGTGCCATTCATAATCCAAATGGTGCTGGATTCAGCTGACTGAGCTATCATCTATGAAATAAAATAATATCTTTCACATGACTCACAAAATACTTTGGTGCTTAATTAAGGCATAATGCAACCCATAGGAGTCACCCTACAGATAAAATCATGGTGCTGATGGTAGAACTGGAGTTCCTATTGGAAGTAACATGCAGATGATACCCTTGCCTATGCCTGGATCTGCCAGTGATGGGTGAGGTGCCAGCGAATGGGGCCTGGCTGTGAAACAGGGTCAAGAGCCTGCTCATGCACAGTGAGGATGAGGAGGGGGAGCTGCAGGTGGCTGTTCCTGGAGAAAGGCCTGTGAAGCAGAGGGAGGAAACAAGGAGAGAGAAGGTTTATGAGAGGGTGGTGAATTCCTGAGGAGGAGGCTTGGGGACATCTATAATGACAAAATCCCGGTGAGAAATCAGACCAAGATGACAGGCCCAGCTGTGGAGGTAGAGAGACAGGGTCTTTACAACATTGGTAAAGGCTTCAGTGGAAAACAGATATCAGCAAGGAAAAGAAAAATGTTGACAGATGAAAGGCAAAGCAGCATCGTATTTGATAAGTGTTGGCTGTTGTTTCAAGCGGGTGAGGAGATCAGGCCAGGTTGTTCTGCCAGATGCTGAGAGGAGAAAGAGCCTACATGGGGTGGAGAACCGAGACCAGAACTCAGTGTTTTCTGCAAACTGGCATACTGTGAAAAAGAGATCAAAGATCTGCAATAATTTAATAACTATAGGACTATTAAAAGTCTAAACAGCAGAGCTGCTGTTGTGCATAGCTGTCATAACCTCTGGAATAGGACTTGTGTTTTCTTAAGTGCATTGACAGAGCCCCATGTGCCTAGGCTGCTGAAGAAGTGCAATTAATTTAATAATATGGGGAATCCATTGCGAGTGGGAGAATGGTTGCTTCTAGATCAGACCTTCAGTGGATATAAATTAGCATAGTTTAGTTTGATATCTGATGCTACTTATCACAGTTCAGAATTGCACATGCATAAGAAATACTCATACAGATTTTATTATACCTCTTAGCCATGAGAAAGTGCTTTATAAGAGTGTTATCCTGAGTATTATGAAGACTGTACTCAAAAATACCAACAATGACATGCTTTTATAAGAGACTGCTATTAAATGACATAAAAATTGTAATCTGTATTTTATTGAACATTTTCAGCAATTTGCTGTATCTGTTCATTAAAAGTAAGTTGGATTACTAGCAAATGTATAATAAAAATGGTTTACATTTTAATGTGTCTTTTGGTCCTCTCTTCTAATATTTAAATTCATTCATTCCTACTCCTACATTCAACTCTATTCCATGGACATAACTGGCAGGTCAGCTGTCTGCTGTTACTACATTGTCTGTTCATCCCCACATGCCACATTCCCATTGTTTCCAAATCTTGCAATTCAATCAAAATACCAAATTTTGGCCTTCTTTAAACTCAGCTGTTAGAAGTATATGATCACATAAACATTTTTGTAATTATACAGAAGCAATAGCATTTTAACCTTTATCAGTGAGAGGAATACTGGAGGATGTGAGGCCAGAAGGCAGAATAGGATGCAAAATAACTTCTTGTGTGTCACTGGAAAATCTCAAGATTTGGGGAAACTCAAATGATGATGCGGGAGTTAAAGTAGTTGCATGTGCTGCCTTTGCTTCACACTTTTTCCTTCATTATGTGCTATTTTTTCTTTTTGTACATAACCAGCAAAGCACATGTGAATTTTCCAGGCCTCAAAACAGTGTTCAGGCTGTAGAGATTCATACTGCTGGGTCTGGAGGTCTTCTCTTGAATTTCCACTGAGAAAATGATGGTTGCTTTACTTCAGCCTGTCTGTCATATACCCTGATGCCATGCCCTGATGACCTGCTCAGTATGTCAGCCTTGTCAGTCCCAAAAGCCTTTCTGGGACTTTGTATCTTCCCAGATAAGGTTTCACTTCTGGACAAAGCTTCTGTTGCTTACCGTGAAAATTTCTTTTCAAATGTTGCCCTAGGCTTTCCTCCTTTTATATGACTGGCTCTGGATTTCAGCTGGTGAGAACTTTTTCATGAAAAAAAGTGTTCTGATGGAACGCAGGAGCAGTCCTTGTACCAAGAGTGTGTTTTCTTCTAAGACCCTTATTTTCCAATCAGCTTTAATCTGAGTTTTTATGTGGCTTTATCTCTTCCTTTTGTATTAATTCAATTGCATCTGAAAGAAAATAGCATGTAGTAAAATTTCTAAATATAATTCAAATATAGCTCATTTCAATCTGGTTGTTTTTACATCTCCATCAATACATTAAGCTAAATATATATCAGATTATTTTGTTTTGTGTCTCGTAATTAAAAAACCAAATCTATTAAAATCTCTTTTCAGAAAGCAGTTCACTTTGGAAGGCATCATTTGAGCAGAATTAAGAAACAGTGATTGGTGTGCAGCTCCAAATCAAGTGAGCATATTTGAAAGACAGAATGACTTTTGGCAATAACCAATATTTGGTTTTGTTTTGTTTCCTTAAGTCAGCTCAATACTGAGAAGCAGAAAGTGCTGTTGGTTTTGCCATCAGTGCACCAGTCTGGTGGCAGCCAGCTTGGGGCTTATTTACGTAGCTTTGTCCTTTCAGTCTCTTATGACAAGCAGTGATAAAACTAAAGTCTGGATGCCTTGGCCACTGGTAGGTGTAACCTATGTGATTACACACAATACAAGGGATTTATACGAAGACATTGTTCCTGTAGGAGAAACATAAATCTCTTTTGCCAACTTCTCTCCACCCCCTTCTAGTGCTGCATTTTAAAACAGCAGACGTTTTTCCTTTGGATTTTTCACCCAGACTAAATATTTTAAAGATAGCATCAGAACTATATTTATCAAGTTATACAACACTTTTGTTTTCCTGTGTAGCTGGCTGCTTGCAATGTTTCCACAGTGTCCCCTCACTGAAGACACCATTAATAGACTGGTACCTACAAACATCCAGATGAGACTTGGGAGTTTTTTTTTTTTTTTTTTTTTTCTTTGAAAGATATCTTACCATCACGTTTCAGTTGTGTCACAGTATTGAAAGATTGAAACACCAATACACCTTGGTCCAGAAAGTCCTCTTCCCTGTTCACAAAAGATATATAAGGACTGATTTTATTTTCTCCCTTTCAGTCACCAGTAGTGAGGGATTACCCTGGGCTGTTCAGGCTTTTGCAAGGAGGCGG